GTGGCCCTTCGGATGTAGATATTACTCGTCATGGACCCTATGGCTGCCGCCAACATTCACAGCAGCATGCTGATCCTATCTTTTACGTACTTTCTCCCACGAGCGACAGATTTCCTCCTAAAAACCACAAATGACATTCCAGTTTGAATTATGAGCCATGCCTTAGATTCTCCTAAAAACCACAAATGATATCCCATTTTGAATTATGAGCCATGCCTTAGGAGTGTTTCACTGTCTGCTCTTCCTGCTCAGTTACACTGCTGGTTCGTGTTAACTGACATCACCACATGTGAGTGTATTACTTGAAACAAGCGAGTAGTCGCTTACAATTGTGTCAACGACTTCTTTGAAATGTTCGATTGTGCCGATGCATTTCGTAGATACTATGTACCAATAGGGAGTTCAAAGGCGTTTACCTATATTTCCGTTCATAAACTTGACTTGACTTGACTATAAAAAAGTCTGTCAGCTTGAAAATTGAACTTTTGATTTGCTTAAATCGGATGAGGCAGCGTACACAGTGTGTTATTCTGAGAAAAACGCAAATGAATTCATATGAAATTCTAATTTGCTAAACTATATTACTTTACGGATGACGCAGACCAACAGACGATTGATGTAGCCGTTGAAAGTCCCCTGTCTGTCGGGCGCCCAGACTGGTTTGTGAGCAAACAATAACTCCCGGTTTTTCACGTGACAACTTCGGCCATCTATTTTTTGATGCCCAAGTTATGCTCCAAACAGGTTGATGTAGTGACTTGAGCGCGAGTTAGGATTTAAGTGATAGTCAACTTCCCGCAGCATCAAACCGCATTCTCGCTCATCACTCATCCGTCAAGTTTGTACACACAATCATCAGTACAAAGATCCACGCCGAAAAATAGGAAGACGTCAGGCCAGTGGTGGGAATTAAGATGTATAAGCAACTCTCCCGTATTTGCTGATCGGAAAGCACGGGAAGGACTAATATTTTTGGAAGAAGTTTCGTCCGTTTCTATTGCTAGTTTAGAAACAACTATAACGTGGTCAGAACTCCCCAGTAAGTCTAAAGGTGATATTGACAATAGTTGGCAGCCTCTACAAAAAAATAAGATCAATCATGTTTAATCCTCGGGTGGGAAAGTCGACTACCTTATCCCATATGCCGATATCTACGGCCTCAAGAAAATTCTCGAACTTTGTAGCACCGGAGGGTGGAGACCACTGAACGTTTGGAAGACTGAAGTCACCTGTAGTACGTAAGGTCTAAGTCAGCTGCGGCATGAAATATCTGCAAGCGATAAATATTGTAGTCCCCACTGGCATTGGGTGGGCGATACATACTGCCAAGGAATAAGGAGTAGTAATGATTCAGCACAATTCGGAGCCAGCAGCTCTAGTCTGTCGCGGTAAATTGTGGAAAGTCAAACGGCAGAAATGTAAGTGGTTGCTTAACATCCAGGTAGCTTCCTCCGCCACGGCCATCGTGTCGATCATTACGAATGTAGGCATAGCCTACAATGGAGAGTTCGGTGTCAGCTACAAAGTGCGATGCCTATGTCTATGTTACTATAACTGTATCTAGGCGGTGAACGAAAATCGGAGTCTTGAGCAGAGAGATCTTACTAAGCAGAGATCTGACATTTAAAACGAACGGTATAAGGGGAGTGTATTTGGTTTCAAAGATGGGGCAGCTAGGCTATCAGAGTGACTGCCTTCGATCGAAGGAATGTTCTTTTTACTTGGACTATTTGTCCACCCCATTCGTCGAAGTGTTTTTCGCCGTTGGTCCTCCATTTTTCCAGTTCTATTATCAACTATCGCATTTTCATTCGCCCCTTCAACTCGTATGCCGGCTGAAAAAAGTTCAGAATGCAGCCCCCAAGGGGATGATTTTCTCGGTTTGTGCTTTATTTTTAAAAATGACTTGGAGAGGTCGTGCCCGAGGATTTAAATCGAATGCTGAAAGGGCGTCCCCATTCTATATGCCTTGATAATGCGGGATGACTAGTCGACCGTTAGCAACGTTTTAGCATAGGGATTAAAGAGAACCAAATTATGGTTAATTCACTCTCTTGGAATTGTTGACGCTGACTCTAGATCCCATTTTACAATTACATTCTACTTACGACTCAGTCAGGCGCCTGGTGTCAGTTCACATTTTTCGACTGAGCGAGCACTTGTATCCGATACACTTGTTTCGGTGGGTCCAGATGTATAAACTATTGGACTGAATAAATCCAAATCCAAACCAAAATCTTAGACATTTTCCTCTTCGGCATTTTAAACTCAACGACCTCATTAATATCACTTTCAGGTGCAGCTTCTAGCACGTATGCAGAGCTGGGTTGTTGACCCGAGGTCATTGCTAATGCTGCCTAAGATGAGTGGCGATGGTATAGAGCACAAACTTACATTGTACATACCTCACACAAGTTTAATTGTAAACACTTGTAATATATTTTTTCTCCCCAACTAAAGGATGTCCTTTGATTTTTTACGAAATACTGGGTGGAGAGTAATTTGATGTGGTGGAAGAACACTCATTGTTCGATCACTTGCCTACAAAATCTAAGGGTAACTCTGCCAGCACCAGCCCCGCCTATCCCCATCGAAATTCCGGGGCCACGCGGGGGAATCCGGGGCTATGGCCCCGAATGAGACGGGGCTGGAGAGGGGCTTTCAATCCGAAGAGCCCCGTTGCCG